TTTGATCTTACCTCGGTCCACACGCGGCAGGCAGGCTCCCCCGTCGACTCCGCGGTACTCCTCTCGTCTAGTTGGAGTACCGCAGTCGACGGCGAGCACTTCCGGGTTCGACTTATCGCGTCCAGACTAGACGCGATAAATCGAACCAAGAAGTTCGATTGCCAGCTGCCGAACTAGCGGCTGGGTATAGACGTACCCTTAGACACAGGCACCCAGAAAAAGACAATTGTTCAGAACTTAATTCTTGGGCTGTTGCTCCTCTCTTACCCCTTCTGCACCCCAAGCTGCGATAACTGGGCTTACAAATTTACCTGAATTGTGAGTTCCATTGTAAAAAGTCAGTGTACGTTCATAAGATGTCACAATAGCAACAAATGTTGATGGGAAAAGGTACGAAATGGAGAAAGACTGAATTAGTCCATACAAAAAGGCCTACTGATATAACTCAAGGACTGTGTTAAGATCCTGCTTGTAAGCAAGAAAAGTGTGGAACCAGAAATTAGTGAACCAAAATTGTTGTGCCAGAAGTGGGCCTAATTGGTGGATGAAATAATGAGGGGATGTGCTATTCCACCCACTATTCCTTTTTGGGGTCCTTAAAAGAAAAAGACTTTTTGGGGTCCTTAAAAGAAAAAGACTTAAGAGAAAAATTTCTACTGGAGCAAGCTTCACCATCATGGCTGCCACCCCACCATCTCCTGGACCCCTGGGTCTTCATCATCCTGATCTTGAGAGATGTCCTGACCAGACCATGCTAGAGAGAGAGAACACAGAACACAACACCACCTCTGCTTGGCTCCAGCTGAATCCCAAACACCATCTGGGATGAAATAGGATCAAACTTTAACAATAGTATCAGGAACAACAGCTCCAGCCCATCTCAACTATCTTCATCAATTTTTTCCCAAAAGGACAGTTATTACCATTTTTGGTACCGTCTAATGACTATCAAACAAAGATTTTTCTTCCTTCTAAAAATTCTCTTCAGCTAAAGGGAAAGAGAACAAGGGATGTTGTTAACATGAAAACCTTACTTAATACTTTACATTTTGCATCCTTTAACTGTTTTTCTCTCTTTGCTGTATCTTTAATAAAAGGTTAAAAGGGATATTTAATAATGTGGTTGCCACGGTACTAAGCAGGCTGAGGTTTCTGTATACCAAACCCCAAACCTTGTTTAACACTGTTTAATATTGGACAGTGACTGGGTTATACCATAGCAATCACACCCACAGTGTAACATGGCAGATTAGGAGTTACAAGGGATGGGTCCAATCCTGAAGACCTTTACTCATCTGACTTCACTAGGACTAGTCAGAAGGTAGAGGTTTGCAGGGCTGGGCCCTAGCTCCTTAACCTGGGTATATCGTAGTTTGTAAGCTCTTTGGGGGCAGGGACTGTCTTTTTGTCCTGTGTTGGAACATTGGCTAGCACAATGGAGAACTAATCCCTGATTGGGGACCCCACATGCTATTGCAATGCAAATAATAAATAAAATAGCAATAATTAATCATATGGAGCCATGATACATTGGCACCTCACCATTATGAGGCCACTTAATAACAACACCTGTAATAAGTAAAACTCTAGTGTATGAATTCTTAAGAATAGCGAGCAGGACTGACAAAGATATCAGGAAAGCAGATGCAGGCTTCCACAACTGGGCAAGAAACTTTAGCAATAATGCGATTTCTAAACAGGAGAGTGTGAAGTCATCCATTAACACTATGATGGAATACTCTATACTCTGTGAGTTTGGATATAGGCTAACCTTCTCCTGAACACTTTCAGTTTTAAGTTTCTATTTACAAAACAAACCCAGCAAATTGTTGGTGATTTATGTCCTCTCCAGGAATCAAAGAAGAATTTTGAAAATGGTTTTAAAACTCTTGCTGTTTCAGGACCTCCATTCAGTGAATGGGGCTGGCGTCCTTCACTGGTGGAAATACCACTTTAAGAACAATGCATAGCACAGGCTGAGTTTGATGATGCAAAGTCAGCTGGATAGCATTTGCTTTTCCACCAGAGGCATTGGGATTCAGAGTTTTTTAAAGTTGTTGCAAGGTGGCTCCGTGCTCCCCTCACATGGGAATCCTGAGAGAGGTGAAAGCTTAGAAATGGAGCTAACACTCCCATTAACCTGATTAGGGCCAGAATTTCACCCTAACTCTCAGGCAGATTTTCACTCAGAAAAGAACTCAGGGAGAAATTCCTATTGAAATCAAAGGCAAAACTCCCACTGAGTTCATTAGGGTCAGCATTTCACCATGGATGCTGAGGGGATTATGCCAAATAAAGCAGTGGTCCCCATTTCCATCCTTCTCCAGTCCCGGCATGGCCATCTCAAGCCAAGGTGCAGAGGTTTCAGTGGATTCCATGGAGGAGGGAGACCATTCCTCACTGATTAGAACATTATTTATATTACCCTGGAGTTTTCCATTCTTAAATTCTATTTTTACTTTGTAGATGAATCTTTGAAAAATTAAGATAGCAGCATGTGTGGTGTTTTACATCATTATCACAGATACCTCCAGGACTTAGTTATTCTTCACTTGAAGCCATACAAAATAATATAAAATTGTTAGAATATTTTGAAGCATAATGGTTTTAATTTAAAAATATTAGAATCAATTGGCCTGAGACATAATGGCCAATGTTTTCAAAGTTAGGCCCCAAAAGTTAGGTCCCTACATAAGTTGCCTGATTTTTAAAGTGGTTTAGAAACCTGCATCTCCCATGGACTTCAGTGAATGTTTAATTACCTAAATATGGAATTAGGTGATTAACTTTTGGCACCTAAATTTGAAAATTTTAGCCAGTAATTTTAATCTGTTCCCATTGTTGGCATTGATCTTATCCTCACTGCTCCCAAATAAAAAAAACTATCAAAGATTTTTGTTGAATTATGTTTCATCATTACACTTTTTTTTTAGACATAACTATATACACTTGTTCAGGAGCAATGTAATGGTTACCCTGGTTTCTGCACATCTTTTTTAGGGGGACATGGAGAGGAAGCAACAGGATGGGGTATAGTATTTCCAGTATGGATGCCACTTTTGGAACATAACACAATGTATCACCCGAACACATAGAATAACTATGCTTGAGGTACAGTAGAACTACAAGGAAAAAGAAACAATATATGTGAAAATCTAATTTCTATCTTGAACCCTGATCCTGTAATGAGATCTGCATGGGTGGACTCCAGAGGCCGCACAGAGCTCATTGCAGGACTAGGGCTTTGGTTGGTAGTGCAATGGGCTATGGAGTAGAAAACCCATTTCTTGCAGTGGCTTTAGAATATGTGGGTTAGGCTTGTGAAGACTGGGAGTGCAGCAATAACACTGATGAAGGGGAGTTTAGGAATAGAGGAGCCTAGGTCAAAGATACTATTACAAACTGTGCTCCTCCTCCAAAGGATCTATATTCCTCAAATCACTGTCAGCCCCCTTTGGGGATGTTTGGATAGGATTAGGAAGGGCCTCCTCATCACAGAATAGAATTTAAACAAATTGTATTATTAATCTTGACACATTAATTTTAAAATCAAACAGCCAAATTCTGTTACACTGATGTTAATGACAACATTCCCATAGATTTAAATGGGTCCGTCTCTAGGATTTGTCTCAAACTGAATTAAAACACTGAAGTAACCTAAGAACAATTTATGTATCTAGTTATGACAAGGCCCATCACTTTTATACTATTCCTAGGAAAATGTAAAATACAAGACCACAGATCATATGCAAGCTGTGAAAATCAGAGTTCATTCTAAAGAACTATAACTTGATAGTAAATGGAAATGTTAATTAGCTTTCTCCAATTAGCCATGGCAACATGTGTATGTTTCACTACTAATAGTAATAGCTGTAAGATAAGCAAAATATTTTAAACTAACGGTTCTAATTCTAATCTGCAGGGAACATTAAAATTTGTAGGTTAGAGGCATTTAGTGTAATGTTAAAATATATATATGAAAATATTTTAAAACATGTATTTAGTAGCATATCTATAAATGCAAAATATCTATCTTAAAGAGTTTAAACTTTTCTGGTCCATGAATAGTGTCAGTACATTTTGATAAACACTTCTGCATTGCTAAATATGCTGAAACTTTTTGATGAGCTGTGATAAGGGCTATTAAAAAGCATCTTTATATTATGGAAAATATTTTAGGTTTTTTCTTTTTTTTAGAATTATATTTTAAAGAATGTTTAATTCAGTTTTGGGCACTTTTTAAACAATCATTTGGCACTTCAAGTTTTAAGTTCTTAGGCACAATGTGACAAAGTCAGTTTAGTTAGTCCTTCACCATGCATTTTGTAGAGCAGCTGGAATTCTGCAGGCAGCTGGTGGGACTCCTGCCACTTGGTAGTGAACTTTGTTCCTTTTTTATCGTAGTAATGGTATGGGAGGTCTTCCCTGGTGTTAGGATCAAATCCAAATGGCCAAAACCCATACAAGTGGATCTCTTCACATATTGCAGAAGCAAGGGTATACATAAGAATACCTGTGCTCAGTCGCTTGGGTGACAAATGTTTATTTTTCCAGTACCTGTGAAATAATAAGCAGAGGCTGATTCAGGTACAAATTCTGTATATGACGATTTATAAAAAAACAAGATGGTGGGTGGAGAATGTCAATATTCATAAGTGATCATATGAATAATATTAGGGTTACTATTCAGGTTAGGCCTTATTAAAACAGCATGAGTATAACATACTGTTACTGAAAACGCTATCCTTGCACAAGTTTATCACAGACTTTTTTGTGCCTCTCTGCAATGGTGTCCATTAGGACATCGGTTTGTTAGTCCCCAATCCTGCAAAGCAGTCCCTGTCTGCAGAAAGATCCCTTCACTTTTGCAGAACCCCACTGACACCATCTGGGCTACACATGGGCTTCTGTTTGCCTATGTGGAGGCAACTGCAGGATCATGGTCTTAGGGTTAAATTAACCCTTGTGCAGACAGCCATTACAAGGCTATGCACTACTTATGCCAATATTATTGCATTGCATTTACAGTCTTCAACCTGAACAAGAGTGCCTAGAATTTAAACTACTCTGAACTGCAACCCTGCTTATGTCAAGTCACCTTGTTTATATGATGAATTTGGCTATAGGCTGGCTTATAATACCTACAGCAAAAGTTGATAGTGCTCTAGTGCTATATTCATTGTGTGATTCACCCTTGTGCAGTGGGACAGCACAAAACCCATGCAACCACTTACATCCCACTTATGCTGAATTAAATGCCACATTGACCTTGTGCTACTCTTTTGCACGGGTGGGAATTTCACCTTAAGGGAGCAATTGTGCTTCTCATTGAAGTCAATGGCAAAACTTCAATTGCCTTCAATGGGAGCAGAATTAGGTCATAACCTTTAGACATTGTACATCAGGTGAATTGTGAATGAAAAATCAATAAAGTAGTTGATTAGTGATATATGTTTCAATGAGTGAAATACATGAAAAATACAAACCTGTTGACATGCTGCATTATATTTCCTGGCCAAGCCAGCTGGACCTTTAATTGCCCTCTATGCTCAACAAAGAAGTCAACCAATGTTCTTGTAACAGTTGCTGAAGTGTGGAAGAAAAAAGCTGGGATCCAAAGAATGGCCCCATCAAGCTTTTTTAAACTTAGAAAAAAGTTATTGCGATCCTGAATGGTCAAAAGATTGTTGTAATACTTTTCCAGGATGCTGGGATTGAAGGTTGTAAGGTTGGTTTTCCTTCCAACATCTTTTTGGAAAGCCTCAGTTGGAGCAAAGTTGCAACGAAAAACAAAATCAGACTTATCTATTTCTTGTCCACACTGACTCCCTGTAAGGATTCCACTATTTCCAACAACAGCACAAATGTTATAATGCTTATTCAAGACAGGTGAGACATCTGGAAGCAGTGATCTGAAGTTATTGCTAATAGAGAAAACATACTTATGGCTGGAATAATCATAATGCATCAGCTGTCCAATCCGAACACTATTCTTGGTCAAAGAAAAATTTTTTATTACATCAACATGCTGGAGAATTCCTTGCCTAAAATAAAATACAAAAAAAACAAAATAAAACATTTCTTTATATTTCTCTCCTTTATACAAAATAGAGGTTTTCTTTCTTATGTCATGATTGGTTTTATTTAAAACAACTGGAGTAAAGTTATTCCAGCTGAGGGTTGCAATGCAACAGCTTTCAAATGGATATGAACTGACAAGAGTTGTGAGACCAGATCCTCAAACCTTCATAACTCCACTGACTTTAATGGAGGACGCTGATTTGCATCAGTTGAGGATCTGGCCCAGAATAATACCGACATTATAATACTTGATTAATTCTTAAGTTTGAGGCATACGATTGTAACTGTGTACTGTTTACATGGGATGAAATTCACTGCTGTGCAGAGCCTCAGCAAAAAGACTAAATACTATTTAAACCCGAACTTGAGGGCAATGCCTGGGCCTTGTACTGATCCTCTGGATAGGAGTAAATTTCACCCATGGTAGTGAACAGCAGTGCTTTGGTGAGACTGGATAGCTCTCATATGCCAAGATGTACTTAAAACAAAATGAAGCAGTCAAGAATATTCAATTGTATTAACAGTAATGTAGCTAAATTTTTAATACGAGTGCTTCTTGTACCTCATTAAGAAGCTTTGAGTCACAAAACAAATGACATTCAACTGTCTCCCCTTACGTAAACATAATACCGTAATATCTCATTTGGACAAGCAAACTGGAATTTTTAAAAGGGGTATTATGAATCCTAAAAACACTCTGGAATTTCGCCTGTAGTGGATAAAACTAGAAAATGAACCATTACTGCTTTATTTGCTCATGTTTATGAAAAACAAACAACCTCTCTTCCAGCTCGCCATCCTCAAATGTCTAAGCATTAATGGAATCCCAGTGGGTACCCTAATTATGGTCTATTGCTAACAGACAAATGCAAGGCAGATCTTGAGGCATTAACTAACATCAACATAGAGGTGCAGCTGAGCTATTTATTTAAGGGTAGACTGTGCTGCAAGAGCACAGGCCATAGTGGTGGCACATTGTGATGTCATTACTGGAACTCCCCAGGGAAGAACCACAATTTCCTCTCTGCTCCTCTCTGGCCCCTGAAGAGTTGTAATTTAGTGTTGGGCTATACCAGCCACAAATTATTTTCCACAGCCCCACACTGCCTCATCTGCTGTGTTGGCTAGAGACCAAAGAGTAGAGGGAGTGGAGCCAAAGTTCACCATTTCTCCTACCCATTCCAAGGAAACAATTAGTGGACACATTGCTCAGCTCTCTCCTTTGTGCCAAAACCCATTACCAGGTGGGCTGCATAGGGGTGTTAAGAAAGTTCTTACTCCTCTGCCTGGTTGTGTAATCCAAGCCACAATCTAGCCTTTAAAAACACTGGGCAATTTTCAGGCAAAATTTGTATTCTTATGTTATTGGCCCAGATTGTGGCATCAATCTCTAAGCAGAAATTTCCATGATCAAGATCAATGGCTAAACACATATATAAGTAGAAAGAAAGAAAGAAAGAAAGAAAGAAAGAAAGAAAGAAAGAAAGAAAGAAGACTGACCCACCATTTACCAGCATTAGTATCACAAGTTGAAGAAGAGCATCAATGATAGACTAAAAGGCATTTCACCTAAAATTAAATTCTTGCAAATGTTGAGTTTTGAGGAAATGAAGGGAACTGAGGAATAATTTCCATTGCCATGTTGTCATCTTGTTAAATGGAATTTGGTGAAGTTGAGGTGAAAATCATTATGGAAAGAATTAATTTTAATTGGATCAGAAATGTTTCCATCATGTTCTCCATGTTTTAGACAACCAGAAACAGCTATGGTTATAAAGAAAGAGCTAGTCTGCATTTTTACGGAATTACTGGTTGCTAATTGGCTGAGAAGTTCCACTGAAACATTTTTTTGTATTTTAATAAATATAATATTTGATACATTATATATTGATTCTTAATTTTTTTTAATTCTCTTGAAATAATAGCAAATTAATTATCATTTTGATAAACCTGGTTACATCCTATTAGTATAATAGTAATATTCCATTGCTGTAAAACAGCTTCTGTTCTTTAATGAAATAATAAATTACCCTAAGACAGTGATGTATTTTATTTTGTATATTTTTTTAAACACTTCACCTTGTTGGGAAATGTTCGGACTCACTCTGTGTCTCAAGAGTTCTGGCAAGTTACTCAGAGTTCAGTATTTATAATTGCCTGATTATATTTTCTAAATATACACCAACCACAGGTACATAGGGAGAGGGATAATTGCACTACATGGGGCTAGACTAGAGCCCCATGCCTAAGAAAACAGTCCCTTGGTTTGATTCTCTCTCACCTTTGATGTAAGAATGCTGTTCTATTAAACGTCCATTTGGAAGGCTTTTCCTGCAGCTCGTGTGTCAAAGAATTTGTAATCGGTACAAACGAAGGGTCCAGAAACTTCAGTGCAAACTGGGACCTGAAAAATGAGCACGCACGCAGGTACACACACGGAATTAACAAATTGTTCAGGGCTGAGTTTAAAGATTCGGTCTGTTTTAGTGCGGATGATTTAATGGGCAGGGAACTAACTGAGCAAAATCTCCATTTCCCCCGTCATAGTCTGGTCTCCCTGTTTAAATCAATCTGAACGAAAGAGACTTTACACATTTCTGTGCACTGCAGAATTCATAAAATGGCCGTCAAAAATATTACTGTGCTGGAATTGAAGTCAAACAGATGGGCAGGTTCAGAGCGTAAATCAGCACCACGGACAGCGATCGACCAGCAGGCAGTCTCCAGCAGCTAGCCCCGCTCCCTGGGCCTGGGTTATTATGATAAGAGGGTTCTGCCTGTTCATTTCATCCTGCTTTCCTGTCTCTTTTCTCTCTCTCCCCCACTCCCCCAAGCCTCAGAAACTCCAGCAGTTTAACAACTCTCCTTCCCTCTCCACCAGAGTGTCCCGCATTTCTCTGAGGGATTGGGCTTGTAGTCTGCCCTTATTCAGAAAGCTCAGCACTGTAGGGTAGGGAAGGGAATCTCTCTTCATGTGTTCCTAAGAAGATGCAACGGGCTTTGCACACGGACTGCATCAGCCAGCACAGAGCGTTTTTACAAGGAGTTCCAGCCCCACTGATATGACCCAGACCCGTTCGCCTCTCGTCAGGCTCAACCCCTCGGATTTCCGGGGGATGCTGCAGCGTGCTCTCCTCGGTACCCCCATCAAGTGCAAAGCAGAATCCAAAGCGCCATGCAAGATGGGGATCTGAGCCACTTTTTTTCTCTCTCCAGCTGAAGAACAGCAGGCTGGGGAGGAAGGAGAACTGGGAACCGCTCTGGGTGCTGGGGGTCCAGAGAGCATCTTGTGCCCTGAGCCTGGAGCCCTCTGCCGGGAGTGGCTTTGCGCTGGACCCGGGGCTGGAATCTCCCTGGTGGGGGTAATTGCAAAGGGGGGAGGGTTGCAAGGGAAGACGTCGGGGGGGGGGGACGTCCCAGCCTTTCCCCACCTCAATCCAGGGGACCAGGGCGCCTGCGCCATTAGCTCGCCCCCTGGAATATATATGAACCGGGCGTGGAGCCACCATGATCATCAAGAAACATGAGTCTTTCCCCCAGGTCAGTCAGCAGCATCCTCCCCACCACACAGACCAAGGGGCCCTCTGGTTTTGGCCACTGGTGGGAAAGCCCAGAGCAGAGCGAGCACATCGATTGACTCGCAGGGTGTTATTTCGTTTTAAAAGCAACGATCAAAGGGTGCCTGGGCGAACGGGGAGAGCCAAGATGCAGGACTCTCCCCCCCCCACCCCTCCCCGTGTGCATCCATCCGCCTTAAAACGGAACGAGAAACAGCAGGCACTTACCTGAATCCAGCATGGAACATGTACATTCTGGGCACCCCCGAGCTGGCATATCTGGGAGTGGTGAAGATATTGTCCTTTTTCAGGGACACGTAGCTGATGAGGGATAAGATCAGCAGAGCCACGCTGAGCATCACCAGCCCCAGCACACTAGCCACCCGGACCATTTTGCAATTTCTCATGCCTGGGAAAGCAATGGAGTTGCAAGGGGTGGGGTGGGGTGGGGGGGATGGGGTGGGGGAGAAGCTAGAGAAACCGGCCCATTGGCGTTACAGCGAGCGAGCTGCGATGGCGCTGTGTGTGTCGCGGGGGGAGGGCGGGGGAGGCAACTCCGAGAGACAATCCGGAGCCACGGGAGCTGCGAGCGGGCACGAGGCAGAATTACAAATAAAATGGAGGGTTCGGAGCTGCAGGCGGCGCTGAAATGGCAGCCGGCTGCGCCGGGACGCCGCTGCCCCTCAGGCCAGGCCCGTTCCCGCTGGCGGGGCTGGGGGTAGAGCGCTACCGGGCAGTGCGGGCACCGGCGGCCATTAATGAACCTTAATCTGCCAAACAGCCTGTGGGGCGCGGCGCTAATGAACGTAGGAGCCACGGTGGCCACACGCTGCCTGGTGGGGCTGCATTCAGATGGGTGGGGAGGGATGCAAATAGCTGCAGGCCCCGCGCCTTCCGGCAGAACCCCCCCTCACACCGCCTGAGCCCCCCCCGTTTCCCCCACCAGAGCCCCCCCCATTCAACGCCCGAGCCCCCCGTCCCCCACGCCAGAACCCTCCCCACGCCCGAGCCCCGCTCACACCGCTCGAAACCCCCCCTTTTCCCCATCAGACTCCCCCCCTTCAACGCCCGAGCCCCCCTCACATCACCCGAACCCTCCCCACGCCGAGCCCCC